CGCGTGACGCCGAACGCCGAGCCTACCAATGGTGCCGGGAGTACCTGGGCGGGGCCTGGCGCCGAGTGCGGCCAGAGGAGCTGAGGATTTGCCCCGTGAGGTGGGAGGTCAAGGGTCAGCCCCTCTGCGCGCGTGTCAGGGTCAGGGGGTCACCCTCGGGGTCTTCGGGACTTTCACTGCGCCTAAAGTCCCGGAGTACCCGAGTCTGGGGCGGAACCGGGGAAGCGGGGCTGTGCCGGCTTGGGGGCGGGACCTTGATGAGCGGGCGGGGTTAGTGATGGGCGGGGACCGCGATGGCTGGGGGCGGGGTTAGTGATGGGCTGGGGTGAGAGACGGGGTCCTCTCTAAGCTGCACCTGGGAGGTTTTAGTGGTGGGCGACACGGGAGCGGAGTTAATGGTGGCCGGGTTTGGAGGCGGGGTCCGCGGTCGCTGCCGGCTCGAGGCTAAACGCACCGGGGGTGGGGCTGCAGCGGAGGAGGCTCGAGGCTAAACGCACCGGGTGTGGGTCTGCAGCGGAGGCCTCAGCAACCTGCTCTTCCGCTGCTCGCTTCCGAACCACCTGCCCAGCGTTGGTGAGGAGCCCCGGGAGGTGCTGTTACGTCTGTATGGGGCCATCCTGCAGGTGAGGGGGAGGAGAGTCGCAGTGGCCAGTGACTAGTTTAGGACCCTGTGGTTTAAGTGGGACAGTGTTTTCTTAATTGCCCTATCGAGGACCCTGAGGCTCAGGTATTAAATTACTTGCCCCTGGGGCCTGTGATCTAGCTTAGTGGCGCTGCTGCCTGTCTGCTGCCTGTCTCACAGTCGCAAAGTCCTGAGCTCCATCCTGGGTACCTGCCCCATCCCCGCAAAATACTTGCACCGTGTCGTACTAGATCCTGTGCTCCTGAGCCCCCAGGCAGTGGGACCCGAAGCGGAGAAAGCAGACCCTCTTGTGTGTGCCAGTGCTCACTAGGCTCTGGCCCCTTTGCTATCTGTCTCCCTTCAGGGCGTGGAGTCCTTGGTGCTTGAGAGCGTGATGTTCGCCATCCTTGCAGAGCGGTCGCTGGGGCCTCAGCTCTATGGAGTCTTTCCAGAGGGCCGACTGGAACAGTACCTCCCAGTACGAGCCCAGCCCTCTCCTCCTTCCTCGTCCCCTTTCTCCTTCCCCCAGTATCTTCCTTCTCGTCACAGCAGGTAGGGAATTTTCCCCAAGACCTTGACCTCCCCCCAATCTCCTATCCCTTCCCCCTCCTGCCCCAGCCCCCTCACCACCCTGATAGGCTCCTGGGTGCAGAGCCGGCCATTGAAAACTCAAGAGCTTCGAGAGCCCGTGTTGTCAGCAGCCATTGCCACGAAGATGGCCCGGTTCCATGGCATGGAGATGCCTTTCACAAAGGAGCCCCACTGGCTCTTTGGGACTATGGAGCGGTGAGTTCGGTTTGGAACCTGCACATCTAAACTGAACCCATTCCTCCAGTTGAGCGGATTAGGTTTCCCGGCCAAGTCACACAGTGACAGGAAGACACATGACATAGTCTGGCCTGAGGTGCCGAAAGGAGAGAGGGTGGGATGGATAGTAGACCAAGTAGAACCTAGTCTTTGGGTTTCAGATACCTAAAGCAGATCCAGGACCTGCCTTCTGCTACCCTCCTCCAGATGAACCTGCTGGAGATGTACAGCCTGAAGGATGAGATGGACAACCTCAGGTGAGCTCAGACAGGATGCGGGTAGGAGGTGAAAGGAAGAAGCACCTCTTCTAGGAGCGCTGTCCTCCCTGCAACTTGCTGTGGCTGGGCTCGGGGCGTGGCCTGTGAGGGTGATTCTAGTCACTCAGGACCTATTCCCTTTATCACTACAGGAAGTTGCTAGAATCTACCCCATCGCCAGTGGTCTTCTGCCACAATGACGTCCAGGAAGGTAGGACAAGACATCCTCTCAGTCTAAGGTGGAGGGGCGAGAAAAGCTCTGAAGTGACCAGAACCCCACCTTGTTTCCCCAGGGAACATCTTGTTGCTCTCACAGCCAGAAAATGCTGACAGCCTGATGCTCGTTGATTTCGAGTACAGTAGTTACAACTACAGGTGAAAGTGGGAATGTAGCTTCCTGTGGGCCTGTTCCTACAGGGCCCTAGGAAACAGATTAGACCTTCATGTCTCCATCCCAGCTGCCCAGGGAATTTGGGGACTGAACATCTACCTTGTTCCCTCAGAGGCTTTGACATTGGGAACCATTTTTGTGAGTGGGTTTATGATTATACTCATGAGGAATGGCCTTTCTACAAAGCACAGCCCACAGACTACCCCACTCGGGAACAGCAGGTATGCCAGCTGGGGACTAAGAAGCGTGACTCATCCTGTGAGGGAGGACAGAGGTTAAGTCTGGAAGGAATAGCCAGAAAGGCTATGAACTGGGAAATATGACACTCAGTTTCTGACTCTTGTCATTGATTTCAGCTCCATTTTATTCGCCATTACCTAGCAGAAGTAAAGAAAGGTGAGACTCTGCCCCAAGAGGAACAAAAAAAACTGGAAGAAGATTTGCTGGTAGAGACCAATCGGTGAGGAAGGAGGAACAGGGTGAGGGTTAAGGCAGGTCATAGAAGAAAGGGGCTGGGGACCAGGATTGAGCTCAGTGGTGCCGCTGCCTGCCTCACAAGTGCAAGGACCCAAGTTCGATCCCCAGTACCAAAAAAAAAAAGGGGGGGGGCTGCACATAAGGGTCAGTGCAGAGTAGGGCAGAGACGGAAGATGAAGTCTGAGACTAGGAGGTGGGAGAGTCTGAGAGCTGGAAGAATCAACAAGGTAGAGAGGACAGTTGGGGGTGTGGTTAGAATTTTGAGAACTGACTGGCCTGGGGAGGAGATCCAGGTAACACCAAATGAAAAACATTTAAAAGCATCTTGAAAGCCCCTACTTCTCCTGCCCCTACTCCCAGGTATGCTTTGGCATCCCATTTCTTCTGGGGTCTGTGGTCCATCCTCCAGGCGTCTATGTCCACCATAGAATTTGGTTACTTGGTAAGTAGCCCAAGAGGTGGGTGTGTTAGATGTGGGCTGGGGAACAGCAAAAGCTACATGTCCTCTGGGAAATTTGGGCAGCCAAGACAGGCGCGGCATGCTGGTCCCAAGCTTTCTCATCACTCCGTGGGGTGGGCTTCCTTCCTAGGAATATGCCCAATCTCGGTTCCAGTTCTACTTCCAGCAGAAGAGGCAGCTGACGAGCGTCCACTCTTCTTCCTGACTGTCCAACCCTCAGTCCTCGGATTTCTCCTGGAGCCTCCAGGGCAGGACCTTGGAAGGGAGACTGGGCTGTCCCCCAGTGACACAGTGGCTGAGGAGACCGACCTTTCCCCCAGTTAGAGCAGGTCTCCGGGGCGGGCAGGCAGGCACACAGACAGGAGCCCCCCTGTATACACCTAAATAAATGAGCTTGTTCCTTATCACTGTGTTTTGGTGCTGCTCAGAAGTGGCAGAAATACCAGATGAAGGATCCACACAGGCGAAGTGACCACTGTTCATTGCTCTGCCCGCTGGTATCCTCTGCCCTAAGTCCTCTCCCCTGGCTGCAGTTTAGACCTAACACACTAGGAGTACTTGGGTTGGGGGTGGGGAGTGGTAGATGTTACGAAGAGGGCACTGGCACTGCCAGACATGACCAGAATCCAGGAGCAGCCTGCACAGCTGACACATTGGTAACCTCTTCCCCACATTCAGCTATTTTTAGCTCTAAAGCCACCATCCTCACGCGAGATCCTTTGAGCACCCCACCCCAATCCCCAGGCACCCAGACCTTGGAGCAGGCTTCAGCTGTGAGAACCCTGCCCACCTCGGAGGGGAGGGGGTTCTGGTTCCTGACCGGCTCTCCTTTTTCAACTCTAATTTGGGAGTGGGTGTCAGGTTGCCAGTGAGGGCGGGGCCGGGGTGGCCAGGCCTGAAGGACGTGGGGACACGGGCCAGAGTGGCCTGACCCGTATACTGACAGGAACAAACGCGCTAGCTGTGAGTAGGGTCCTCTCCCTGTCCTGGAAACCAACCCAGTTCAGGAGGTGCGCAGAGCTGAGGTTCCGCATCATGAGCCTGGCTGCACCCGCCCGAAACCAAGTCTGGGCCGACTCTGTTTCCTGGGGTGCCTCTCCCCCGACCTAGAGGCTGCCTTTCGTGGTCTTTGGGGCTCCTTGCTTTCAAGGCCTGGAACCCCTGCCCCACTGGGGCGGGTCGGACGCCAGTGCAAGGCTTAGGCAGCTGCGGTTGGCGGGCAGGAGGGCGCGAGGTGGGGGTGCAAGAAGGGCGGCTACTAGTGGGGCGGGAGCCAGG